GGGCCTAGCTGGGCGGGCGGGGCCACAGCCAGGAGAGGTGAGGACCAGACCCGGCCGCAGCGGCCTCCGGGAGTCCCAGCTCCGCACCTGTCTGCTCCGTCCCGCGGGGGGCGGAGTGGGGCCAGGGCCTTCCAGACTACGTCAGGTCAACTTCTGGGCTTTTCTTTTTAATTTACTTTTTTGTTGATTGATTTTAGAGGGAGAGAGGAACCCGATTTGTTCCACTTATTTATGCATCCATCGGCTGACTCCTGTGCGCGCCCCGACCAGGGCGTGTGGGGCGGGGTCTCTAACCACTGAGAAGCTCCGCCTGGGCTGGGCGCTAGCTTCTGGAGTCCGCCGGGAGAGTGTTTCTGGGGTTGTAGCAACAGTGTGTGATTTTCGCGCTTTAAATCCATGTCTCCCCTTTTTGTCCTTTTCTTTGGTTGAAGATGGTGGGCGAGGCGGTGTTAGCAAACGGGAGGTCCTGGCGACGCTTTTTCCTGGTACGGCCCCCACCGCTCGGCGGAACACGTGCTGACTCTAGGTCCGAGCAAGCTCTGCTCCGAACCCAGTCCCCGAAAGGGGTCCGGCCTGGGCGCGGCCCGCGCACCCGGAGGCGCGGCGCAGTGGCCGGGGCGTGTGGTCATCGGTCATCGGTCACCGGGGAGGGCGTTGTGGGCCTGGGCGCGAGGGCGGGCGCGGGGCGAGGCCCCTGAGTCACCCGGTCAGCTCAGCCCCCATCCCGGGAGGCGCTGGAACCGCACCCTCTGCTGGCGGAGCCGAGCGAGGCCAAGAACCCAAACCCCGTTCCCGGGCGAGTGGGGCCAGAGGCCCTTTCTGAGTTCTAGGTGCAGTCCAGAGAGACAGAGATAAAGAAGCGTCCTTGTTTTGTGTGTGTGTTGTTTTGTTTTGTTACCGTGCCTCTTCTTATTATATATGACCGCCTTTTTGGACGTGCACTTATGTTTATCCCATGCATTTCTGGTGACATTGCCCTCAGGTGTCAGGTGTTGAGATCACTCATCAGCAGCAGTCATTTCCATTTTGAAGTTACAGAAATGGAGGTAAGGCTCTCCTTTCCCCACGGTGGGCTCTGATTCACAATGAAGAGACTAAACACCCTCTGCAGCACTGAAGAGCGCCATTCCCTCCGACCGCACTCAGGGGTCATCAGTGACTGCCTTCCTCCCCACCTCCTCAGCCCGGACGTGTCCAGGTGTCCGAGCCGGGCTGGCTGGGCACGGCAACTGCAGGGTTTCCACTGGACGGAAGCCCTAACCCTTCCACTGACCTCCACTCCCCGTGGGCTTCCTCTGATGACACAGCAGTTTGCTTTATGCAGATGTGCTCAGAGGATGTCACTGAACCTGCAGCATCAGCATATTATCTGGGAACCGGTTTGAAATGCAAATGTGTGGGCTCCACCACCCTGGACACGCTGCATGGGCAGCTCTGGGGAAGGCCTCCGGGTGGTCCCAGGGCACACACTCCAAGCTGCAGCTGCACTGTATTCCCCGGACCTGCAGGGCTAGTTAGCCTCCCAAGTTCAGCAAAGTCCTTATGGAAACAACAGCAAAACCCCTTACAAATGAACTGATGCGAGTAAAGGAGATTTCAAGCTCCAGACACAACATTTCTGGATGGGCAGAAATTCTGATAATTCCACCAGTCTGAAAACAGAAACAGATCTGTTACCATATATACAGATGTTTTTTCTGGTCAGTCTTTCCTACAACTTCAACAATGCTCAAAAGCCTAGGGTATATTTTTTAAATAAACTCTCTTATTCCTAAGTCACACCCCCCCCACGCCCCATAACAAAGTAACCCATGCATGCCTATGGTAGAAACTTTGAAAATACACAAAAATTGGGAGACAAGAATAGAAAAATCATCTATAATTCCACCGTTATGGATAATGTGTCACACTGTGGTGTATTTCTCCTTCTATGAAAATGGTTTTCACATGGTTGAGATCCTAAGGGAGACTTTTTGCTTGTTTGTTTAAATAATAATGCCACTATGATTATATACACAATTCAACAATGATTGTATAACGACAAAGGACAGAACGAGGGAAAATGAAATTATTAGACACATGCATCTTTATAAATGTGCAAAAACATGCTCCAGAAAAATTCTATGTATTTGAAAACATTAATTAAATATAATATATGGACTTTTAAACAGGTAGAGGCATACAGTATACATTTTTCAGTTTGCTTTTTTGCATCTAGCAATATGCTTTATTACTAATTTTTTTTTGTTCATCCTTGCCCAAGGATATGTTTCCCATTGATTTTTAGAGAGAGTGGAAGGAAGGGAGGGAGGGGAGGTGAGATAAGAGAGAGAGAGAGAGAGAAACATCAATGTGAAAAAGACACATCTATTGGTTGTCTCCTGCACGCGCCCGGACCGGGATTGGACCTGCAACCCAGGTCATGCCCCTGATGGGGAAGTGAACCTTCTGTGCTAGGGCCGACGCTCTAACCACTGAGAGCACTGGCCAGGGCTGAAATAGGCGTTTAAAACTCTACACTGAAGCAAGCCCAAGTTCACTGACCTCTTCACTGGAAATAGCTACAACTCATGACTTGGTGCCAGTGGTTCTGACTCAGAAATGGGCCATTGTTGGTCAAACGTACGCTGACATGTCATTTGCCCTCGTAAAGGCACACGACTTGGTGACTAATCCAGTCCCTGGCGGTGGGGACTTCCTCGCAGAGACGATGCCACAGCGTCCGGATGACTCCGAACGGCGGTCGGCGTTTCACAATGCCGTTCCCTCCCCTGGAGGATTCCGTCAGGGACACGGTGTCCTTTGCCGGGGGTGGTTTGGGTCTCACCTTTCCTCAAAGAGGGCCCCCCTCTTGTAATCTGACCACTTCCTCCCTAAGGCTCTTCGCCAGTCCGACTGCGGGAAGGGGAAGAACAGCATTCCCTCCTGAAAAACAAGAGGCTTAGGACCATGTGAGGGAGGGAAGAGGCCAAAGACGCGAGAAGTCACTCTTTCTGATGAAGCTGACGAGGGAACCGGAGGTCTTTAATAACGTCCTTCTATTGTTAAAACGTGACATCGTTTAAAATCATCTCAAAATATTGCCTTTCCACAAATACATAGATGATGTAGCCAAGGGTGGAGTCTCGCAGTCCGAGAGCTAGAAAATGCGTTTGTCCTGCTGGTGTTTGGTGGCTCAGCCGGGGAGATTTTTCTGGCTGCCAGTGAAATTAATTTTGTTAATTAATTTCTGTTTGTTAACAGAAAATTCTGTTTCTTTGTGATGGGGTGGGGCCACAACATTAGTAACAAGGAAACAGAATTTCCAGAGGATGAGGCCCAGAAATCAGGATTTTAAAAAGATTCCCAGGTGATTCTAATGTGCAGCCAAGGTTGAGAACCACTGGCCTAGAACATGAACTCACAGGCCCGCCTCCGTCGCACCACACAGACCTCGCATCTTCATGATGTGGCACAAAGGGCTTCCTTTCTTGTGAGCGAGCATTCGGCCGCTGCCAGCTGCCAGCGATGCCTAGGAAGTGCTTGGGGCGGCTTCACAAATGCAGTTCTCCCGTCACAGCGACAATTATTTCCAGACCACATTTAAAAATACATTTTTTTATTGATTTCAGAGAGAAAGGGAGAGGGAGAGGGAGAGAGAGACATCAATGATGGGAATCATCCATCAGCTGCCTCCTGCACGCCCCACGCTGGGCATGGAGCCCACAACCTGGACATGTGCCCTGACCGGGCATGGAACTGTGACCTCCTGGCTCACCGGTCGACCCTCAACCACTGAGCCACGCCTGCTGTCCATCTCATATAGGAAGGAGGCAGTCCCATTCCCCCTCCTGTCCATTTCACGTTGTTTCTGCTAACTTCCTTTTTTGCTTCCAAGTTCCTCCTCAGTCTTTCTCGCACCAGAGTGTCCCTCTTTCATCCCATCACTCTGCAAAGATCAGCGGCAATCTAGTTCTAAACGTCAGTTGCTGTTGACAACTGCCCCCTGGAATCTGTTTTCACACATTCTTCAACTTGTCCCGAACTCTCTCTCTCTCTGTGTCCCTGAACCGTTTTCCCCATTTCCTACCAGTTTCTGGCACCGTGTGCACTGTGCTACGAGGTCGGCTGTCGGCTGGCACCTGGGGGCTCGGCTGTCAAACAGTTCCCTGCACTGACATCAGACTTTCCCTGAATGGCAAGGGCTCACTGAGCCCAAGTCGTTTACAAACCATTGGTCTGTGCCAATCGATGCCTGGACGTCTGGGATCTTGGCAAAGGCCAGGCAGAGGGTGCCTGGGACCAGTTAATTAAAAGCCTGGTGAGTCGCCATTGAGCTTCCCCCGGGGACAGCACTTCATGGTGTTGTCACACTCGTTGGGAGAGCAAGGAAGCTCGCCCAGTGACTGCTGGAGAGACTCTTGGAGGCCTGCACTGCTTTCCTGCCTTCACGCCACTTCCCTTCCCCTTCGCTGATCTTGCTACACACCCTTTTGCTGTCATCTTCGCCCCGAGTATGACCACAGGATGAGCTCTGGGGTCCTCCTAGCCAATCAGCAAAACTGGGGCGGGGGGGACGTTTTAGGGTCTCCTGACATACTTAGTATAATTCACCTTTCCCCTCACGCTCCATGTTCAATTAATCACCAACTACCCTTAGCTCTGCCTCTATCTGTTTTGAAAAATATGTCTGTATTCTCCGCCCTTACTGCCTCTATGCGGCAACTTCCCCCCCCCCCCCCCCCCCGCCCCGACTTCCCACACTGAAAGCAGCAAAACAATGAAGAGTTTCTATTTGTAGCATCTTCTGTGACTCTCCCGGGAATTTTTGTCTGAATAAAAAAACCTCCTGGCATCATGACAAAAGTGATCCACGGTAGAAATAATGAAATCATAGGTCTATAAGTAACATAAGGCTTACAGAGCTGAGTCATTAATTCTAAAATTCCATCTTATTTAAAATCACAGAAATACCTTCTGATTAAACACAAACAGGAAAAAGCAGCAAAGGCAAACTGGGTAGTATATTAACTTTATTTTGAATTATAACCTGGAATATTTCATCAGAGAAATGGACATAATGAAAAACTTCTGTGGTTGAATTAAACAAATGCCTTGCATAGGAATTGCTAGTTCTAAGAGCTCAATGAACTGTGAGTTAGATGAACATAAAACAAGAACCATCTATCTGTGTACAAACAAATGCAATTTAGCTTTAAAAACATTTTTTTTAGAAGTGCACCCCTGAAATCTATATAATTTCATTAACCAATGTCACCCAGTAAATTCAGTGAAAAGTAACCCGTTTGCCTGTTATCAACCCATGAACCAGGAGGTCAGAGTTTGATTCCTGGTCAGGGCACGTGCCCAGGTTGCAAGCTCGGCTGCAATTTAGCTTTAAATAACAGAACGTTTTGTTTTTTGTTTTTTCCAGTCTTGGGTGAGTGATTTAGATGATCATCTTCCCTGCTGTGGATAATATCATCTCATCTAGACCACATGTGCGCCTTCTAAGCTAGAGACCTCTTGCCTACAGTCAGAGGCTCCCTTAAATATTGTCAGAGCTCCTGGATTCATTTTAATGACCCTGATATTGATCAAGAGCATTATCCACATAAAATGATCTCATAAATAGGCCAAGGAAAGCATGTCTTAGTGAAAAACAACATTAAGTTTGTGACTTCATTGCATTTTTGTCCTTTGGAACTTTGCTATCAGTCCCCATAAAACTTTTGATTTAGATCAGTGATGAGCAACCATTTTTGGCTTAAGGCTCTAAGTTAGGGCTCTAACTAAGGCAAAAAATATTAAAAATTTAAGGCCACATTATTTTCGTCTTCAGAATAAATATTGCTTTGTGAAATTCTCATGGGGGGATGTGTAATTGCACAACTTTGCTGAGTAAAAGACAGTCAATGAGGAAACTGGCACTGCTTTGCAGCTACTAAAATATTAATATACGGGGTTCAGCAATCCAGACAAAGCTTTCTCATTGTTTATCCTGACGTGAGACTGCAGGCGTGTTGCATAGCTGGCCAGGCTGTGGGTTGCTCAGTACTGGCTTTGCTTGTGATAATGATCAAAATAAGCTAATATCTGTTGGTTATGTTATTGATCATAACAAACTTTAGGAGGATATCTGCCAATTTCAAAATTATACTCCGTTGTTTACCGACTTAACGAAAATGCTTTTAGTGACACTGCAAGTTGGTTAAAAAACCCTCCTGGGGTTACATTTCCCTCCGTGTCAACGTGTGTTTACATAGAACACTGGCGGGACACAGAGCAGAACAGGAACGAGAGAAGGAAAGATGTGTTTCTAAGTCACAGAATACCCGTGTTCATCACGGCGGGTTACAGAGAGAGGGTTAGCTCATGTCTGTGCGCATAGGCACCAAATGAGGCATGTAGACACCACTGATTGTAAAGTGCATCGAATATAAATTTTACACCTTTCTCAGAGGAATAGTTCCATAAAACCCAGGTTTCCTTCTTGGAACCCACTAGCTCAAGAACATGCATAGAGGAACACTTACTACACACTAACAACAGTCTTTTATTACTACAGTCCTGCAATAGTGCTAGCGTATCGTACTTGCACATATCACATTGTATCCAAGGACCGCAAAGCCACTGTACCAAGCAGAGTGATGCTGGAAGCTCCAGATTCCAGAGCATGCCAATGGCACAGGAATCAGGGTCCCGATAACATAACCTAAATAAAAGCTAAAAAAAAAAAAAACCAATCCTCAAGTCCTGCGGTTTGTAATTTTCTGAATTTCCAAACTTGCCACTTGCATCCTACCCTTCCTGCAATACGGACTCCGGGTAAACATGGCTTTTACGTGTTAGGACCAAGGTCCGGTTCAACTCACACATGAACACTTTGTCTTCTGAGTTCAACAGCCCCCTTTGACCTCTTAGTGATGCACGTTCGCACGTCAGGTCTCTGAGACCACGGCTATGATCCTTGGGTAGGAGAACATCTTACACTGGGATGACATACATGCATACATGTAAAATGTCACAGAGCTACACATTTTAGCACACTTACATGTAACACAAAAGCTAAAGGGCACTAGCTCATCGGAGGTCAGACCTGCAGCTTTTAAAGGCTTACAGTCTTTCTGTCTTCTGACTTAAAGCTCTTGGAAGGTTTAACGATTAGGGTTTAACGGAGAGACACAAGTGAGTCCATGGCCCTGCCAGGCCCCGGGGAGTGGGCTGCAGGCCGCGTGAGCAGCCGTGTGAATGAGGAGGTCCCTGCCCTGTGCTTCAGGCACCAGGCACAGCTCTTCTGGGTGGGGAACCTGGGTGGGCAACCAGGGCACTGTCTCCTTACAGAATCTCCAACACCATCTGAAAGCAGTTTCTAGTGGGCAATGCGGTGACGGTTTCTCCCTTCAGTCAAATATGCAGCTGAGATAGCTCTTCCTGTGGCCTTCCTTGCCCCGCAGGAGACTCAGTATTCGCTCGTTTTGGGTGAGTTCTGCTGGAAGTTTGTTGGCCTGAAAGAAGGTAAGACAGGCATTAGCGGATTCCCACAGTTGGTGTGGTTTTAGGGACTCCAACGAGGGGGCTTGGACCCGAACCTGCTTATTTCCTGGTGAAACACCCTTTGGACTCTGCTTTGTGTTCAGGCATTAGAGGTCTCTCTGGAACGTAAACACGTCACCGGTCAGGGTTATTCTTTGTTAGGGTTACTTTTCCACCTAGCCGTGCCTCTCACTAGACGGTACCCCCCTGGATGCCAGGGCCCATGCTTTTTGGTCATGTGTTCTCGTTTCCGGCGCAACGCCCTGCGCATCTGGCCTGTGCTCCATAAACACTGGTATGTGCCCTCGAAGGGCCCGCCTGAACCTCCATCAGGAGCAGCCACACGCAGACTCATAGCTCTCGGAGCGCCCAAGCCCGTGCTGTGCTCACTGGGAATCCCCACAACCACCACTGCTGAGCTCCCAGGAGGCACACCCAGAACTGCATTTCCAGTTTCTATATAAAGGTTCTAACTGCTCCCCGGCCCCTTCATTCAGCCCTGGATGTCCCCGTCCAAGGTCTAAAGATAAGACAGGGGTGGTGCTTCCAGCTGCCTTATCACTCCCCAGGCCCACCAATGGAAGCTAATCTCAGCATCTCGGGAAGAGATAAGCAGAGATACGCTGTCATCAAGCAGGTCAGTGGTAGGAACAGGAGAGGACCCATAGATTACGTGGAGTGAAGGAGACCCTTGCTGTTCAGCTGTACTTCCTGATAGTTTCTTTCAAAGTGTCACGACGGGCTCCTTGCTTTTGTTTTCCTTATGAATAAAATCAGACACAGTAGCAGATGCGTATAGAAATTCAAGCGGCAGGAAAGGAAAGTATAACATAAAAATAGCTTTCGCCACACCCACTTCCTCCTTCAAGGTGAGCAGCTTAGCCCTGGCTGGTGTGGCTCTGTTGGTTGAGCATCGTCCTGGCACCAAAAGGCTGCTGGTTCGACTCCCAGTCAGGGCGCATACCTGGGTGCGGGTTCGATCTTGTCAGGGCACATACGGAAGGCAACCATTGACGTTTCTCTCTCTAAAAATAAATGTAAAAGTCTTTAAACAAAAAACAGAAGTTAGCAGTGTCGTGTGCTTCTTCAAGACCTGTCCTGGGCTCCTGCCCCCACCCCACCCTCCCACTGGACAGCTCATGCAGATGTTGGATAAGAGGAAATACGACGACAATCGTGTTTTTTTCCTATGGCTACCGTGCATCTTCCACCTCCAGATTTGGCCTAACGGTAAACTAAAGAGTCTGAGTTGTAAAAAGACATGGGTTGGTTCTGTAACAGGGCGGTGAGGTCCTGTTAACAACATAAAAGTGACATTTTCCCATGCAGACACCAAACAGAGCACCAGCAATCCTCAGCATGTGACCATCCAGCCTCCGGGGGTGGCGGCAACCACCAGACTCTGACATTTTTAGGGCACTTTGTGGATAACAGGACACTCATAACCCCGCTCCCACACTGCTGCCCTCTCCCCCCACTGCCTCCCCACCCCTGGAGCTGCGCCCTTGTTAGCTGAAACCCACTGATAATACAGGGTTTTATTTTTTTTTTTAATATATATCTTATTGATTTTTTTACAGAGAGGAAGGGAGAGGGGTAGAGAGTTAGAAGCATCGATGAGAGAGAAACATCGATCAACTGCCTCCTGCACACCTCCTACTGGGGATGTGCCCGCAACCAAGGTACATGCTCTTAACCGGAATTGAACCTGAGACCTTTCAGTCTGCAGGCCGATACTCTATCCACTGAGCCAAACCGGTCAGGGCGATACAGGGTTTTAGAGTAATTCTCTGGGTCCAACCAGGCCAGCATGGCTCGTGGCTGAGCATTGACCTATGAACCAGGAGGTCTCAGTTTGATTCCCAGTCAAGGGCACACAGCTGGGTTTTGGGGTCGATCCCCAGTACAGGAGGCAGCCAATCGATGATTCTCTCTCATCACTGATGTTTCTATCTCCCCCTCTCCCTTCCTCTCTGAAATCAATACGTTCAGTGTAATTCTCTGGCCCAAAGGGACTGCTCACCCACAACCCAGTCACCACCTCGCCTGCCGTTTCTAGGCGGAAGTGCGAGAAGAGCGACAGGAGCCAGAGAGGCGTAACCTTGGTTACGGCAGACACTGCCTTACCTCTGCACAGGTGCCTGATGGAGTGGAAAGACGCGCAAGGCAGGCCCGTACCTTGTTTCTCAGGGCTGGGTCTGCCCCCGCCTCCAGGAGCAGCGCAACGGTCTTAACGTTCCCGCTGAGCACGGCCGCGTGGAGCGCCGACGTCCCGTTCTAAGAGGAAAGACGGTGCGTCACAGTGACTCAGCCCGCAGCACTCGCCGGCCTTACGCTCCCTGATGCCCCCTCTCCAGCCACATCAGCCTCTGACACAGTGCGCCCAGGTGCACAGCAGGTGGTCAGTGTAAGTGCTGCCAATGCTCTTTTCTTTCAAAAAAAAAAAATTTTTTTTATTTATTTTATTTATTTATTTTTTATTTTTTATTTCAGAGCAGAAGGGAAATAAGGAGAGAGACAGAAACGTCCATGATGAGAGAGACTCATGGACCGGCTGCCTCCTGCACGGCCCTCACTGGGGATCGAGCCCACAACCCGGGCACGTGCTCTGACTGGGAATCCAATTATGACCTCCTGGTTCACAGGCCAACGCTCAACCACTGAGCCGCGCTGCTGGGCCAAGAACAGACTTCTTCATTTCCAACCCCCTTCTCTTACAGACGGGCACAATTCCTTACCTTCAAAATGCCAAGGGAGGGGGAGAATTTCAGCAGCTCCTGGATGACGTCGTGGTAGCCCTTGTTGGCGGCCTTCAGCAAGGCCGTGGAGCCGTCCTTCAGGACAGGGAAACGGGGGCATTCAGAGCGAGCCGGGCTGAGCACGAGGGCCATGCACCGACCTGCCAGGCCCCGACCCTAGGGGCCTCCTAGCGCACACGCAGCCACCGAGTCTGCTTTAGGGGCACCAGGCAAAACCGGTGACTTCTTATGTCATCTCAGGGCCCTGCCATTGGAATTCGCACTCTCCCAGCCCCTTGGAACTCTGGGTAAGGGACAATGGACTAGAGGCACCTCTGTCGTTCGTGACCGAGCAGCCCTGTTGATCTGCTTGCAGTGATTTAACAATTCTTGAACTGTATTGGCTGTTCTCAAGCGTTAAAGGGGCTTTTCGTTTTGTCTTTTCTCGCCTGCAGCCTTGCTCTCCTCTGCCCTGGGTGTCTGTCTGCCTGTGGTGGTGGGGGAGGGGAGGGGAGACTGAAATCTGTTAAAAAGAATGCAAGGACAAGCTGAGAAATTAACCACCCGCTCCTGCCATCACTTGGCGTGAGCAGAGACCTTGCACATTCTTTTCCTCCTGCCTTAGCGTATCGATGGCGGCACCGGGAGGTTTCGCTCACAGCCCCCTCCGGCAGAAAGGAGACGGCCGCCCACCTCGCCCAAGGCTTAGCGGGAGTCGGGAAGAAAGAACAGGAGGAAACAGGGGTTTCTTTCCTGGTTTCAGAGTCGGTGGGAAGAGGAACAGTGGGAGAGGGGAGATGACGTGGCCAGGAGCGCACCTCTGTTTCCTCTTTTTGGGGTCTGACTGGGAAAGAGGGTGGTCACATAAGCAGAGCCATGCCAAGGACAGAGGCCAGACACTGTGAAAAAATAAATAAATAAAAAGCGAGCAGCAAGCCGCCCTTGGTTCCTATGGGGCGAGGCCTGCTGTGGGGTGAGGTCAGTGGTCTGCAAACTGCGGCTCGGCAAACTGAGGCTCACGAGCTACACGTGGCTCTTTGGCCCCTTGAGTATGGCTCTTCCACAAAATACCGACTTCTGTGCATGGGCCATGAAGTTTCAATCGCACTCTACGTGCATGCCCGCACATGGTATTTTGTGGAAGGGCCACACTCAAGGGGCCAAAGAGCCACATGTGGCTCGCGAGCTGCGGTTTGCCAACCACGGGGTTAGCTGACCCCGGGGCTCTGTGGCTGGGGGCTGAGCAAGGGGGGTCCGCCTGGAGCACTGAGGGACCCCAAACCACAGGCACCCAAGCCCGGCCAGCTGCACTTGGGCAAGTGCCAGCAGGAGGTGCAGTGCCCCCTGGAGCAGCTGCCAGGGACACCCCCCCAAGGAGCCAGGGCCCAGGCTCCTACGCCCCCTCCCCACCGTCCATCCAGAAGTCTGCTCAGGGGGGAGCATCACAGAGGAGTGATGTGTTTTGTTTTGTTTTCCTTAGAGAGCGGAGCAGCACTAGGTTTCAACAGATTCACACGGTTAGTTTCTGGCTGAAGAGCAGGTGGAGGGGGGGAGAAAACCCAGCTGGCACGACCACATACAGCCGCGTGGTCTCCGGGCCTAGGCTGCCATGGTTTGGGGCCTTGGTGCGTGCATTTCCCCTGGACGCCCTCCCCGGCCCCTGCCCGGCCCGTGCATGCATCACCGCTCCCTGTCCCCCCCTCCCCCCCCGGGACCCACAATGCGTGCATTTCCCCAGGTTCCCACGGTGCGTGCATTTCCCCTGCCTGCCCCCCCAGGCCCGTGCATGCATAACCGCCCCCCACCTCCGGGACCACCCACAGTGTTTGCATTTCCCCAGGTTCCCACGGTGCGTGCATTTCCCGGGGCCCGTGCTGTGCAGCTTTCACTCAGACTCACGTCTCGGGCGGCGTCGCGGTCGGCTCCCCGCAGCAGCATCACCCTCACCACCTCGCTGTGGCCCATCTGCGATGCGATCCACAGCGGTGCCGTCCCATCCTGAAGCGAGAGGACCACACAGTGTCCACACGGCAGTCACACAGCAGCCACACGGCGTCCACATGGCAGCCACATGGCATCCACACGGCAGCCACACGGCGTCCACACGGCAGCCACACGGCATCTACACAGCGTCCACATGGCAGCCACACGGCGTCTACACAGCGACCACATGGCAGCCACACGGCGTCTACACAGCGTCCACATGGCAGCCACACGGCATCTACACAGCGTCCACATGGCAGCCACACGGCGTCTACACAGCGTCCACACGGCAGCCACACGGCGTCCACATGGCAGCCACACGGCGTCCACAGGGCATCCACACGGCTTCCACATGGCAACCACATGCTATCTACACGGCAGCCACACAGTGTCCACACGGCAGCCACATGGTGTCACACGGCATCCACACAGCAGCCACACGGCCTCCACACGACGTCCACACGGCAGCCACATGCACCATGATTTCACTGGCAGAGAGGATGGCAGGGCCGTGGGTGGTGGAACCAGCGTGTCTCAGTCACCAGCGCGGAAGCTTAGGGACCAGCCGGCTGGACAAGCAGCACAGGGAGGAGACCCCCCACCTCAATGCCAGGGGCCGCTGACCTCTGAGAACACAGGTCGCTCTGGAGAGAAGGGCAAGAGGGAGGAGGGCCCAGAACTGCCTAAACGTAGGTAACTAAGATAATGTGGCCCAAAGAGGCTGCTGGTCAGATAAGACCGAGTTACTCATCCGTGGGGACGCGGGCTGAGAGCACGATGATTCAGCTACAGGACACACAGGTTGTTTTCTGCTGAGGATGTGACTTCACTCGGATCTGCTACTCGCAGCGGGCACAGGACTGCCGCCCAGTGCTGTCCGGCAAAGGACGGGGACAACGGCGTTGGCGCGGGTGGAGGATGAGGGCATGTCGGAGCCCAGAGGTCCCGAGGGTGCTGGGTACGAGGACACGGCACCTCTGTTCTTGCAGAGACGTGGGGAAGAGGGGCTGAGACGGGTGGAAGGATCTGAAACACCTCGCCCTCCTCCATCCTTCAATCTGCACATCGTGCATCAATGCAGACCCATCCTCGATTGGTACTCTCAGCTCACAAAGCAATTCTCCATCCATTATTTAATTGGATTCTCCCAACTCAGGAGAATCATTCATTCCTCATTCAACCACCCGGCAATTATTAAGCATCTTCCGAGTCTCCGGCAGCCAGAGCTAAAAATAAGACGTGACTGCCCCGTGGAAGGACCTATGAACCAGGAGCTCACGGTTTGATTCTGGTCGGGGCACAGGCCCGGGTTGTGGGCTCCATCCCCAGGGTGGGGCGTGCAGGAGGCAGCCGATCCATGACTCTCTCCCATCACTGATGTTCCTACCCCTCTCTCCCCCTTCCTCTCTGAAATCAATAAAACATATTTAAAAATAAGACGTGATCCCTGCTCTGACAGGAGCTAAGCCAGCGGAGAGGCGACGGAATCTGAGTCTGACCTCAGGGCTCCAATAAAGTGTGGACACAGAGCCCCGAGAACCAGGAGAGGGCCTCTCACGTGCGGGTGACGGGTCAGCTCCCAGGTGGGCGTTGGCATCTGAGCTGGGTCTTGAAGGAGGACTAGGATTTTGTCAGGGGGGTGAAGGGACAAGGGGACCTATGGAGATGGAACATGTCCAGTCCCAGTGACCTGGACAGGAGGGGCTGGGTCAGGCAGGGTGGGCGATCCAGACGGTGTGGCCACAAGGGCGTGGGTGTGGCCGGAGGGGCGTGGGTGGGACTGGGAGGCAGGAGGGGGTGTCTGGGCTCCCCTGCTGGTGCCCTTCTCCCTCCTTATCCGCTGGGGCCATTGTTCTTTGTGGATGTCGCCACCAGGGGGCAGCCGAGGAAAGGCCGTCAGGGGCCTCTGATGCTTTGGAAGGGCTTGTTTTGAGTAAAATGCTGTTAATTGACACTGATACTTAGAGAAGTGCTGAGAGGTGCTCCGCTGGGAGTCACTGGTAACATCACAGCAGTAACGCTCACAGCCATCACCTCATCGCAACGGCCATGGGGTGGGGGCCACCCTTTCCGGCTGAGCCTCGGCGTCCCTCCTAGAAACTGTGAGCCTCACAGACGGACGGACATTCCCGGTGGGAAGACAGGGCAGGGCCAGCTGACCTGGCCAGACAACCTTCCATTTATAAGCTCCCGGCGGGTAGTAAACAGGCACAATGGTTGCCTGAGGGGCACCGAGGGCAGACTGGGGTTAGTGTCCCACGAAAAGGAAAAATTCTGTCCCCCCAAGGCAATCCCTGTCTATGAACACCCGGTTCTTTTCAGAGCGGGACTCACAATGCCGGTCACATCGGACACAATCCTTGGAGGGCAGGTCGCTTGCCCTTTGACCCCGGCCCTCCCCTCTTAAATGAGGTCGTCCACTGGACCCGTCACCTCCCTCTGGGGAGCCCTGGCTGCCCCAGCTACTGGGGGTCACTCCTAACGCCCGGGTTCCCATGCCACCAGCACACGACACAATCCCTGCAGCACATGAAGTATAACCTTATACCAACTGGGCTTTTACAGACGGTGCCTTGGGCGTATGAATAATGTAATTTACTTTAGAAATAGATTTGTCAAAACACCAGAAATTATTTTAGAAGGAGGTTCAAAGAGAGACTTGACCATCTCTCATTTCTAAATTCACAGGTACTCTCAGTAATGACCTCTGCAATCTGAAAGTAACAACCCTTTTTATTTAGTAAAATTAGGCCTCTGATTCAGAATCAACCAACAATTTCAACATTAGAAGGACCAACAAGAAAATATTAAACTCCAATCCCCAGATGTCAATTCTGGCAGAAACAGAAGAGCAACTTTTTCTAAAAGTGTCCTTTCCCAGAAATATTCCTGAGGCCATCTAAGCTAAGAATATCTTTAAGATTCTGAAAATATAATCTCACATTTATAGCAGTGTCTGGCTCATGTTAAGTTCCCAAGAAATACTGACTGAACATTGAACAAAACAGTTATAAAAAATTGGGGCCCTAACCGGTTTGGCTCAGTGGATAGAGCATCGGCCTGCGGACTCAAGGGTCCCAGGTTCGATTCCGGTCAAGGGCATGTACCTTGGTTGAGGGCACATCCCCAGTAGGGAGTGTGCAGGAGGCAGCTGATCGATGTTTCTCTCTCATCGATGTTTCTAACTCTCTATCCCTCTACCTTCCTCTCTGTAAAAAAATCAATAAAATATATTTTTTTAAAAATTGGGGAGGGTTGGGGAGGCCGGGGGAAGGTCAATGGAGAAAAAAAGGAGACATATGTACTACTATTTGTAATACCTTTAAACAATAAAATTTTTTTAAAAATTGGGGAGTTTGTGCCCTGGCCGGTGTGGCTCAGTTGGTTGGAGCATCATCCCATATACCAACAGGTGGTGGGCTCAATTCCCAGTTAGGGAACATATGCAGGTTGTGGGTTCGATCCCCAGTCGGGGCATGTGCAAGAGGCAACCAATTGATATTTATCACATTGATGTTTCCCTCCCCTCCCCTCTCTCAAACCAATTAAAAAAAAAATTACCAAAAGCAGACCAGGCGCTTGGAGAGATCATCAGCATCATCCCACCCAGCCTCCTACACTGCAGCCTCCTGAGGGACGAGTGGTCCCAGAGGCCGGTTCACTTGTCCAAACCACACAGCCAGTTACTGCAGAGCCGGGTCTGGAACCAGGATTCCTGACCTCAGACCCACTTTGCCCAAAGCCCCTTTCTTTTCTCAGGTCGGATGCACTTGGACTTCTCAGGTGGTGGAGACCTCGGACCAACCTGAAGGCTCCCACAGCTCTTCACCACGTGCACCTGCAGGCTTCGTCAAGGCAGGCCTCACCGCGGTGGGAATCGCGGCGCCACTTACTGCAAAGAAACCGGCTTGACTTTCCCCTAGAAAACTGCCTTTAAAGTCATGTCACTGCACCCGGAAGTGTTTTGTTAAAAACAAGTTAATTAGTGAGGGAACAGTTCCCATACAAGAGCCCTAGTTACAATGCCTCACTTTGGACGGGTCTCCCCACCCTTAGAGCGAGGCCTGCATTGCCTGGCAGTTCTATTCCTTTACGAATCAAGTGGTTGGTTTACCAGCTGCTGGCGAATGAAGTCCCAACAGCACTGCAATTGTGAGAGATGGGGGTGCGGACCTGCCGGTGACCGCACTGGGCCCCTCCTTGGCTGGCGGAAGCAGTGAGGGAGGGGGAGAAGGCAGCACCTCAGCGAGGGCCTGGGCAGGGCCAGCGACCTGTCACCTCCGTCCACCTGCAACCAGGCAGCCTTCTCTGACGACCACGGAGCCGCTGGAGTTTCTCTGAACGGGAGGCGGCAGACTGTGTCCCTGACCTCAGGCACCAACGCCCACGTTTTAAACACAGTCAGCGGTGATGTCAGCCTGGTTCCGGGTGAGCCCAGAGTGAAGAACAAGGAAGCCCTGACCACAGGTGAACGGTGCCCGGAAGCAAGGGGTGTAAAGGCACCCAGAGGTGACCGGCCGCTTAGGTAACGCTGCTGCCGAGAGCTGGCCCCGGCCCCTGCCCCGTGCACCCCGACATTACCTGCCTCGGCTGGTTGACTCTCGCTCCCGACGACAGCAACAGCCGAGTGACCTCCAAGTAGCCGCCCTGGGCCGCCAGGAAGAGGGCAGTGGCTCCATCCTGAGGGCCAGCAACGGAAAGTGCAGAGGTCACCTTCCACATTTACTTGAAAAGAAATGACCTTTGAAATGCATGCACTGAATACATTTTCCCATTGCCACCCCCTTTTTCACATGCATGGTTAGCGTTTTATTCTATGAAGAATGATTCTGAAAGATCACACTGAGCCAGACTGACAGGTAAAGTTCAGAACAGACAGTCTCAGGAGGGGGAGCATCACGTCTACAACGACCCCCCGAGGTCCCGATCCCAGAGCTGACACGTCGAGCCGAGTAGCGTCCAGGCTTCCCCGACTCGCAGCCCCGACTTCTTGTCTGCACGGACTTTCACAGGCTGCTCTCTGCTTTTGTTCATGATCTGAGACCACCCCCTTTTTATTTTACTGTATTTTAAAAATATTTTTATTTATTTCAGAGAGGCAGGGAGAGGGAGAGAGAAGCATCAATGATGACAGGGAATCATGGATCTGCTGCCTCCTGATGCCCCCCACTGGGGATTGAGCCCACAACCCGGGCAGGAGCCCCAACGAGGAATCAAACTGTGACCTCCTGGCTCTTAGGACGCTCAACCACTGAGCCACACAGCCAGTCGGCTTCATTCCCTTTATCCCGAGTGGAAAACCCGCGCACATCCTGGTGGAAAACACCCGGCTCACCCAGCTCACTGCCTCCCTCCCGCCAGGGACACCAGCCACAGGTTAAAACACACAGCACCCTTCCCGCGAGTCCAGCCGCGCGGCGGTGCCGGGAGTGAGCCGTGCCGACGCCGGGAAGGGTGTTCCAATGGAAAAGTCCACACCTACACGCTCATTACACGTCTAGGAGAGGACATGGTGCCCGGGCACGAGGGCGAGGTGGCTAGTGGTGGGATGGCCAAAGTGTGGTCCTAGATCACGGGATCCAGATCCTTCCACTCCTCATGACCATGCTCAGCCGCTTCCTCTCCCCGCGTTTTATTTTTTCCTACAAAACTGAAATCACGTTTGCCATAAACCCTGTGGAATCACAGTGACAATCACTGAAGAGTGCCTGGGTGATGTGCTGACTGCTGATCAGCCACCAACAGGCCAGCACAGTAGGGCTGCCTTTCAAAGGGCCGGGTCTCCCTCCACCAGCCTCACCTCTTTTCCAAATAACCCGAGTTCTTTTAAAAAATATATTTTCCTGACTGCAGAGAGAAAGGGAGAGGAAGAAAGAGACAGAGCATCAATGGTGACAGAGAATCACTGATTGGCTGCCTCCTGCACGCCCAATACTGGGGATCTAGCCCGAAATCCGGGCATGTGTCCCGACCAGAAATCCAACCATGATGTTGAACCATGACCTCCTGGTTCATAGGTCAACGCTCAACTACTGAGCCGCACCAGCAGGGCCAAATAACCCGTTTTCTCCTTTTTTGTGCTCTTCTTCCCGAATAAACGCACAACAGAATGTGTTTTGGTTTCCGGCAAGTCCATAGGCTGGGCTTGTCACGTTACCAATGAGGACGTATCACACGATTGTTGAAGATCCTAACTGCACAGGTACATGAGCTGCTACCCGTGTGAGAGATTTAAAAGGGCAAGACGAAGACGGGTAAGCAAAGTTATGTGGTTTCTACACAGAACAAGGTCATCTGGTAAATGATGTATTTTGCTCCTTGCTGTCTCAGATAAAAGGTCTATTGTCCATGAAACTATTCTTGGAACTGCCACTCTGGCTTCCAAGTTCAGGCTGTGAGGGCAGGTGTGATGAGGGTGAGCGAGGTCCGGAAACACTCACATAGAGCTGGTCGTGGACGTTGGCACCATGCTTCAGGAGGGTGTCCACCACCTGCCTGTGCCCGTACTGGCTGGCAGCGAGCAGGGCAGTGCCCCCGTCCTGCGGGCACACAAAGCACACACTTTAGAACTTTAGAGAAGAACTCTCCATAGACAACACCAAACTCACCTTTCCTCTTTGGCCCCTTCCCATGCTCTTTTTTATTCTCTTTGGTTAGTCTTCACCCAGGGATATTTTCCCATGGATTTTTAGAGAGCATGGAAGGGAGGGAGAGACAGAGAGAAACATCGATGTGAGAGAGACATATCGATTGGTTGCCTCCTGTACACACCCCGACCAGGGCTGGGGAACCTGCAATCCAGGTACGTGCCCTTGACGGGAATCGAACCCTGGACCCCTTTAGTCCGCGGGCCGACGCTCCATCCACTGAACCAAACTGGCCAGGGCCCCTTCCCACTCTCCTGTGACCGTGACAGGGTCCATCTCAAGGACGTCCTCATGCTGGACTCTCGGAAGACCCGCCTGCGATCTATGGCAGTTGTCTGACCGAGTCCTTGCGATTAATTCAGAAATGCCCCGGGCCTACTAGACTCACGGACGTGATCACTCTGTCAGCTACTAGATGTCCAGTCACTACGTCAGACACCTGAGGCTATCACCACATTGGCTGCCCACTGGGATCAAAAACAAAAGCAGACAGACATTTCCCAGGTCCAAGGAGGCCCATCGACCCGCCTCTCCACAAAGGGAGGAGAACAGAACGCCGGCAGCAGTCAGTCTGTCGTGGAAGAAACTGGCCAGAGACCCTCTTGACAGAGACGACGCCTCCTTCATTTCCGCAGCTCAATGAGAACTGGCTTTTATGCCGACCATGTCGCACTCCTGACTCCCCGCGTCCGTGGTCGGCAGAAGCCCTGAATGGGTTTTCTGAGGTGCTGAGGCGAACGCGTTCCCTTTTCCCGTCTAGGGCTGTGGTCTGCTTGGCTCTGTGAATTGCTATGTGGGCATGTGAGCTTAATTATACATAATGAACAACATGCCATCTGCTTCTAACATGCAGATCACAAACACAAGAGAGTGTGGTTCCTAATTGGGGCACAGAGTGTTTTTCCCAAATGCCCACCTTCGGGGCCTCATCCTCAGATTCTAGGCTAAGGCCCAGAAATTGGCCTTTGTCCAGTCGCGTCAGGTGACTGTGGTGAGCAGGTGGGTGAGCCTCACATGGAGAAGCTGCTGCAAGAGCTGGGTTCCCAGGGGATGCATGTGGCTACGTGAGGCTTCAGCCAGGGCCGGGCTGAGGGCAGGGGCGGGGGGGGGGGGCGGGGGGAGGAGGGTTGGGTGAGGGAGGGCTGGGTGGGTGGGGGGGCTGGGTGAGGATCAGAAAACTGCTTAATAGCAGCCCTGAGCACCCATGTTTCCCAGTTTTGCTCTGTCCATTTTCTCAGCTCTTTGCCGCAGGAATTTAGAGAACGGATGAGACAGGGTGGCTGACCTAGAAGAGCTGATACCATTTATTTTTTAAAAACACATTTTGGGGCAAATAGGTTTAATAACGATGAGAACAACTGTTGACACAAGTCAGTCTTCATGCCCGGATCCTATTAAAACTCAAAGCCCCCCGACATCTCTCCTTCCCGGGGGAGCTCATGGACACCCCAGCTGACTGCGTGGAGACCCGGGAACGCCCCCCGGGGCCCAGGTTCCCCGGACCCTGGGCAGCACGAACCGGCCCCTGCACAAGGCTTTATGCCGGCACCAACTTGCCGACCAGGAAGACTGAGGCAGCCCCATGGCCACTCAGGGCCGTTCTGACGTGGTTCAACGAGCTGAGGTTTGGGCTTGTAAAACTTCGCTTTCTGCGTTTAGTTTCATTACTTTTACGGTGAAAAATAAGACGATAATTAATATAACAATATGCGCACACGCATGCTCTGTCCGTCCTATTCAGCATGTTTGGGGCCTGGACGCAGGCCGACGCCAGGCTTCAGAAAAGACAGAGACCTGATGCTCAGATCCCCATGTTTTACCATCTTAACAGGGAAATGCCCAGCGGAAACTCCCTGGATACTGAAACATCAAGTCCAATGAGTTAAGAAAACCTACAAGTTTCCAACTGGGGCAAATTGTCAGGAATTTCTTATTATGACTCGACCAGAAATAAGCTGACAATTACAACAAAAAGTCCTGGCAGTTCAACTCCTCCTGCTACAAAGGACGATCCCTCACACTCGCATCATGAACACAAAGCTGGCGACCTGCTCTCAGCTCTCTTATCCGCGTGCCCACGGCGAACAGTAAGCGACTTCTCCTGCCCAGCCAGGTAAACTGCAATCATATATTTCACATCATCTCAGCGCGGCATCGCAGGGGCAAACCACCTGCCGGATTCACTAGGATCGCTTCCTACTTCAGCCTCTCCCATCACTGCCCTGGGACTAACCTTGAGGCAGAAACAAACCCGTGACAACAGGGGAGGTTTCAAGCACCTGCCGCTGTGCCCGTCCTGGTAACAGAGTTCGTGTCTCGGAGCAGAGAGCTCAAGTGCAAGAGAGTCTGCGATTCCTCACGAAAGCCCCCGATTGTGAGCCAGAGCAAAACGTGCCGCGTTTTGAACTGAATCCCGAGGAGGCCCCCGCACGATTACAAGGAACCTCGAGAAACCACCTTCCCAGCTGGACAGTCCCGTAGAGAAGGACGCACAGACTCGTGGACAGGTGCGGAGCGTGAATGCTCGGACGGCTGAGTTCTCCAATGAGGATGAAACCAGGCCGTTTACTTACTTTGGTCCTAAATTCAGTGGAGGCTCCAAATTCAAAGAGAAATCGCACGACGTCGTCATGGCCTTGCTGGGCAGCGAAGAACAGGGCGGTGGTGCCTGACTGGGAGAGAGGCTGGTTTTAAAAGACATGCGCTCCCCCTGGCCGGCCACTCGCTGGTTAGAGCTCGTCCCAGTTTGCGGGCTCCATCCCAGCCAGGGCGCCCACGGGAAGCAACCGACGGATGCATAGCAAGTGGAACAGCAAGTCAGGGCTCCTCTCCCTCCCTCCCTCCCTCCCTCTCCCCCCTCCCCCCACACCCCATAAATAAAAATTAAAAAAAGACATCTGGTCACATTACATTTACTTTATAGATTTGCAAACAAAACAAAACTACATCCTTGCACATAAAACTTCTAGTCTAAGAAGGGGCCATGTTTGAACTGATTATACGCTTTGATCAGAGAAGGAAGGAGGCGAAAGGAAACTTCACTCCTGGCCCCGTGGAAAGGGTGGTGGACTTGGTCCTACTCGCGGGAACCTGTGAAGGTGACTAATCTGGAGAAGACGCGGTTAATGATCCAATGACAAGCGTCTCCATCAGAGTGAGGCAGAGCGATGTCTAACCCAGAGAAGAGGCTCTGGCAATGGGACCCCAGAGAAGAGACTTGGTGATGGGGCCGCAAGTCAGAGACTGCCAGCAGCTGCCGGGAGCCGGGAGCCGGGAGCCGGGAGAGGAGGCAAAGGATACGCTCCAGAGCCGGCAGAGGGAGCATGGCCTGGGAACACTGTCCTTCAGAACCTGAGGGCAAACGTTCTGTCGTTTTAAGCCCCCGGTCTGTGGTCATTTGCTACCGCAGCCGAGGGGAACGGAGATGCTGGGGATAGCATTTGGGGAACGCCGGCCTTCGTCCACACGGGAACACGGGCAGTGGTCTGGGGAATGCCAGCCTTCGTCCACACGGGAACACAGGCAGTGATTTGGGGAACGCCGGCCTTCGTCCACACGGGAACACGGGCAGTGGTCTGGGGAACGCCGGCCTTCGTCCACACGGGAACACGGGCAGTGTTTTGGGGAACGCCGGCCTTCGTCCACACGGGAACACGGGCAGTGGCCTGGGGAACGCCGGCCTTCGTCCACACGGGAACACGGGCAGTGATTTGGGGAACGCCGGCCTTCGTCCACACGGGAACACGGGCAGTGGCCTGGGGAACGCCGGCCTTCGTCCACACGGGAACACGGGCAGTGGACTGGGGAACGCCGGCCTTCGTCCACACGGGAACACGGGCAGTGATTTGGGGAACGCCGGCCTTCGTCCACACGGGAACACGGGCAGTGGCCTGGGGAACGCCGGCCTTCGTCCACACGGGAACACGGGCAGTGGCCTGGGGAACGCCAGCCTTCATCCACATGGGAACACGGGCAGTGATTTGGGGAACGCCGGCCTTCGTCCACACGGGAACACGGGCAGTGGCCTGGGGAACGCCGGCCTTCGTCCACACGGGAACACGGGCAGTGGTCTGGGGAACGCCGGCCTTCGTCCACACGGGAACACGGGCAGTGGTCTGGGGAACGCCGGCCTTCGTCCACACGGGAACACGGGCAGTGGTCTGGTTACAACATGCATCGCCCCAGGGCAGAAAGCTCTCCGTGCCCATAATCCACGCCGATGGCTACAAGTGTCTCCCCACACAGGACGTGTTAACAAGAAACAGCCTGGTTCCAATTTTAAACTTATCCATGACAATTTGAGACACAATTTTCAGCATCCTTTCTTCACAGGTATTTCTATAAACCTACTCGAAGACTGGGACCCAAATCACTGTGTAATCTGAGCAAAATGACCCTCCCATGGATGTGGGCAGCTTTCATTTAAAGATACTCTTGCCCGGCCGGTGTGGATCAGTGGTGAGCGTCACCTATGAACCAGGAGGTCACGGTTCATTTCCCGGTCGGGGCACAGGCCCGGGTTGCTGGCTCGATCCCCAGTGGGGGGCGTGCAGGAGGCAGCCGATTGATGTTTCTCTCTCTCTCCCCCTTCCTTTCTGAAATCAATTACACAATTAAAAAAATAGTTTAAAAATCAATAAAAACATCTAAAAAAAGAATGACTCAGGTGACAGGCTGACACTGCTGGACGTCAGCTGAACACGTCTTCTCAGGCACGCGTTGCCGCCAGGCAGCCGGACCTCTAACCACATCCCTCAAACATGCAAGCACGTCGTCCCCAGCTTCAGTCAGACCGCCCCTCTTCCCGTGGGATGAGATGCTGGAGTTCACACCATTTTCATAGAGATCGTTATGTTTTTAGAAGGACGTCACCAACCTGTTCTTAAAGAGGCTTACCCGCTGCCAGGGGTGGGCAAACTGTTTGACTCGAGGGCCACAATGGGTTCTTAAACTGGACCGGAGGCCGGGACAAAAGCATGGGTGGAGCGTTTGTGTGAACTAATATAAATTCAAAGTAAACATCATTACATAAAAGGGTACGGTCTCTTTTTTTTTAGTTTTATTCATTTCAAACGGCCCGCGGGCCGTAGTTTGCCCACGGCTGCGCTAGCCTCTCAGCCACCCCCAGCAAACCGTGTTTTCAAAGGGTTTCGCGGACTGGCTGTGTTAATGCCCAACCACTGAACCACACGGGCCGGGCGTCATTCTCATTCACGTGCCAAACCTGACCTACCTCTCTCTGGAGGTTGATGTCCGCGCCCTGGAGCACGAGCTCCCGCACGCAGTCGATGTGGCCCGCGTAGGAGGCGACCATGAGGAGCGAGGTGCCGCACTGGGGGAGGAGACAGTGAGCGTTAGGCCACGGCGTGCGAAGGGTCCTGGCCAGCCCCACCCGGGCACCTCCGAGCTCGCCCCGCAGTGACAGCCTGTCTCGGAGCATCTCACACGGCAGACTCGGCGGGGAAAGCCACGTGGCCATTGCCGAGGCTGGAATTTTCAGTTAACACTAGAAAGACGGAAATTTAGCGTATACCTATATTGCCCAGAAGCAGTCACAATGACTGCATGTGAAAGAATAATACCGGAGCACTCTTCACTCATGTTCCTTAGCTTTTCCAATAACTCACTTCGAATCGGCATTTCTCTCATGAATTTAGGGCGCAAAAGAAATACAATAAACAACTTATTAGAACAAGTATCACTGCATAAAGATTCGAATAACAAGTACTAGTTTAGCTTATTGAGCAACTGCAACTTATCAAGTATCGACAATTTATCATGTACTTGTATGTTATCATGTGACGGTAATCGAAAAAAAATGAAAACTGTTATTTCAATACAGAGCCGACCTGGTCATATAAGAAATTTACTCAATTCAATAATAAGAGTCATAATTTCCCCAAGCAGTCAAAATGACTGCTTTTGGGCAATATAGGTATAACACATATATATATATACCGGAAATGAAGGAGGGGGAGGTAACTACAATTATTAATAAACGCATTTATATGTTGTACAAAAAGTCACAAAATTCTAAGACATTGTTCCTTATATACATAATTGTTTTTCTAATTGAAATTACAAAGCAGTCAAAATGACTTCCTTGGGCAATCTAGTGTTAAAAACGGACTCCTTCCATCATCGTCAGAAACGCAGTCCCCACTGAGCCATGGTTCCTGCATCTGAAAGCAGCAGCAATGGCCTCATGCAATGGCCTCATGTTAGGTCCATAATAGAGTCCTCAGCCGAACAGTGCGATTCATGCGAAAATGGGTTAAAGGTCCCAGCTGGTTTTCTGGGCTGAGTCTTGACCTTCACACGGTTTAGGGCGGGAGGACAGGCACTGTGATGAGATGAGAGACTAGAAGAGTCAGGCCCTGAGTCCAAGTCGACCTTTGTCATGAACCAATGTTAAGGGGCAGGTGCCTGCGATTGCGGGTTTCACCTCATCTTTAACATGCACATGCGTGGGACGGGCACCGAGGTCTCTCACATGCGTGGGACGGGCACCGAGGTCTCTCACATGCGTGGGACGGGCACCGAGGTCTCTCACATGCGTGGGACGGGCATCGAGGTCTCTCACATGCGTGGGACGGGCACCGAGGTCTCTCACATGCGTGGGACGGGCACCGAGGTCTCTCACATGCGTGGGACGGGCACCGAGGTCTCTCACATGCGTGGGACGGGCACCGAGGTCTCTCACATGCGTGGGACGGGCACCGAGGTCTCTCACATGCGTGGGACGGGCATCGAGGTCTCTAACATGCGTGGGACAGGCACCGAGGTCTCTCCCGGCTTCCAGATTCAGGCCTGGAGGTGCCTCTGACACAGATGCCTCCCATCCCATTAGACTTTTGCAGTTTAATTCCATGTTGCTTCCAACGGCTTGAAATTGTGACCTGAACCACCACCTGGGGCCTGGCCAGGAACAGAGGGTCCATTCCAACTGGGACAATGGGAGGAAGTTTCACAAAGACCAACTGCGAGGCTGTGCCCTGGGGGGCAGGCAGGCGGGGATGGGGGGGGTTGGGGGGGCACTGAGGAGCAGCCTGGCACCGGGAGCGGGCAGTGCGGTCCACGCCAGCCCAGGCCTGAAGGCACGAGGCCCAGGGGGCTCCCAGCTGCCGCCGCCAGACAGAGCAGTGAGGGGGGAGCACTGGGCTCCCCCACATCCCTGTCCTTCCCACCTCGGACGCCTGCCAAAGCTCCCAGCGGCCAAACCCAACAGGAAGTGGTCCCCTGGGGCCACACACGGCTCAGAGGCTGGGCACTGGGAGGCTGGAGAGCATGGATGGACCCCAGATCCCTGCACGGATGCCCCCAGGGGGACGGAGCCCGCACGGCATCTCCCTGGAGCTGGGGCTGACCCCCATGCCCAGATGTGTGCCATCACAGCGGAAATGGCACATCCTGTTTTCAGGAAAACAATAAGGCTCCTTTGAGAAACATTTTTATTTAGATCCGAAAATCAAAACATCTCTCTCCCTCATTTAGGTCCGACTTGCCCCAGATGTGAAGTCCCTCTGGGGAGGGAGGGGCGGCCTCGGCCTGGGATGCCCGCCAGTGCCAGTGTCTATTCTTAGTTCCCTTAATTGCCAATTAGCGTGTTGGCGTTTGCAAAGGTAACAGAGAACACCCCCAGGCCCATGGCAGCCCGTCTGCTCTCCATCGGCTCGTCCTCCCTGGGAGCAGCTGGTTTGAATTCTGACACTCGCCGTCCCTTCCAGGATCTGCTGATCTGACCCCGGGCAGTGCCCCCCACGCAGCCTCCTGTGTTAGCCTGTGACTGTGCCCCAGTGCAGTTCTCCGCCGTCCCCCCCCCCCCCGCCCCCCGCCCACCCCGGGCTTTGGACACGGATAAAGCGAGCACACGCGTGAGCGGTAGCCAAGCCCCGGGAGGGAAACGTGTCGGAGGTGCTCTCCTGCCCGCGGGGGCCCGGCGCACCCGGGGCACGCGTGACCGGGGGGCCTGCGTACACTGTCCCTGCAGTCCACGTCCACGCGGCCGCTGGTGAGCAGCAGCCGGAGCAGAGCCAGGCTTCCCCTCCTCGCGGCCCAGAACGCGGCGTTGGCCAGCGGCGTCTCCTTCTGCAGAATCAGAGGAAACAGGATCGAAAATCAACACGGGCACCGTGACCACGTCTACAAACACACATTCCCAGACGTGTCGCAGCCTTTGCTCTAATACACTTGGTACGGAACACACTGCTTTGTTTTCTAAAATATGTTTTCATTGATTTCCAAGAGGAAGGGAGAGGGGGAGAGAGAGAGAATCATCAGTGATGAGAGAGAATCACTGATCGGCTGCCTCCTGCTCGCCCTCTGCTGAGGATCAAGCCCGCCACCGGGCATGTGCCCTGACCGGGAATCGAGCCGAAACCTCCTGGTTCACAGGTCGACACTCAACCACTGGGCCAGGCCGGCCGGGCTGGAATGCTGTTTTATGGCCGATGTGGGGCCGGGCTGTTTACGAGGCGCGAGTTGTTGACAACACAGCACCATCATACCCTTTCCCACCAGGGCCCTCGCTTTCCTGCCTGTGTCTTTGTTCCCGTTTCCTTTTTGCTTGAAGTGAGTCCTGCCCCGTCCTGCAAGGCCAAAGTTCTTTGAATGCGATTTCCTCCCTGAAATGTCCCCAAATCTCTCTTCTCTCTCAGCAGAGAAAAACCACTCCCGGTCTGACCTCCGGGGGTCAGCAGCCCCTCTCTACCCTCCCAACAGCTTCCACCCACCCCCCGGTCTGAACGGAGCCTCACTTTCTCGCCACCCGCTGTTCTTGGCTTTAGCCAGACGCTGCGGAGGTTCCAGTTGAGACCCAGGAGCTCTGGGCAGAAAACGCCTACGTGTCCTCGTGGGTCCTTCACGCTGGGCTGGTTTAACGTTGCCAAGTTGCCCGGCTGGCGTGGCTCAGTGGTGAGCATCGACCTATGAACCAGGAGGTCAGAGTTCGATTCCCGGTCAGGGCACAGGCCCGGGTTGTGGGCTCCATCCCCAGTGGGGGGCGTGCAGGAGGCAGCCGAACCATGATTCTCTCTCTCATTGATGTTTCTCTCTCTCCCTCCCTCTCCCTTCCTCTCTGAAATCAATACAAATCTACACTAATAAAAGAGAAACGTGGTAATTGGCGTACGACCGCTACCCTTTTCATTGGCTAATCAGGGCGATATGCAAATTAACTGTCAGCCAAGATGGCGGCCGGCAGCCAGGCAGCTTGAAACTAACATGAGGCTTGCTTGCCTCAGTGATGGAGGAAACCAACGTTCCCCGCCTGCGGCCTGCAGCCTCTGAGCGGGTAGTTTAAGAAACATTGTAACAAATACCGCCGGACTTCAGCCAGCAGATTCGCAACATTGTAAGCAAAGGACAGAAACCTACTTTCAGCCGCGGAGGCCTAAGAGCTGGAGCCAAGCCTCAAGGTAAAGCTGGCCCAGAATAAAAAAGAAAAAAAGGAGCGGTTGGGAACTTCAGTCACTCCCAGCCTGAAAACAGCCCTCAGCCCCTCACCCGGACTGGCCAGGCACCCCAGTGGGGACCCCCACCCTGATCCAGGACACCCTTCAGGGCAAACCAGCCAGCCCCACCCATGCACCAGGCCTCTACCCTGTATAGTAAAAGGGTAATATGCCTCCCGGCACCGGGATCAGTGTGACAGGGGGCAGCGCCCAAACCCCCTGATCGCCCTGCGGCTCTGTGTGTGACAGGGGGCGGGGCCCCAACCCCCTGAGCAGCCCTGCTCTGTGCCTGATAGGGGGGAGCTCCCTAACCCCTCCCCCCCCACGGGCCCTGCTCTGTGTGTGACGGGGTAGAGCTATAACCTCCCCATCGGCCCTGCCTTGAGTGTGACAGGGGACGGTGCCCCAACCCCCGAATCGGCCCTACCCTGAGCGTGACTGAGGGTGGCATCGCAACCTCCCAATCTGCCCTGCTCTGTGCATGACAGGGGGCGGTGCCCCAACTCCCCAATCGGCCCTGCTCTGAGCCCGACCAGGGGCTGCACCTAGGGATTGGGCCTGCCCTCTGCCACCCGGGAGCAGGCCTAAGCCAGCAGGTCGTTATCTCCCAAGGGGTCCCAGACTGTGAGAGGGCACAGGCCGGGCTGAGGGACCCCCCCTCCCCCCTGAGTGCACAAATTTTTGTGCACCGGGCCTCTAGTATATTAAATAAATAAATAAAGAATAAAGTTGCAAAGTTAACGTTGGAGCCGGGCCTACGGGAGGGAGAGCTGGAGAACGGTCCCCAGAGGAGAGGGTAGAGCCGACTGCGGTGCAGCCTCCTCCCCTAACGCAGGGACGTGGGTGTGGAGAGAATGGGGTGTGTGTGAGGGGGGCCTGGGGGAGAGGGCAGAGGGCAGAGGGCAGAGGGCAGAGGGCAGGCTGGGACGACCACCACGGCCTCTAGCCCAGCCTGCACTAGGACACGGCCTGGCCCGATGGGTCTCGGCTCCTCTGGCGTAGACGGAGGCCACATGCCCTGTCCTGTCGTCTAAGCTAAGGTTTAAACGGTGCTGGTTACCTGCAGGCCCAACACATCAAAAATGCTTACGGAGGCTCCTTTCCTTCCCTTTTTCCTCCTCCCCCTCACCCCCAATATATTCTTATTGATTTCAGAGAGGAAGAGAGAGGGAGGGAGAGAGAAACATCAGTGATGAGAGAGCATCATGGACCGGCTGCCTCCTGCACGCCCCCCCACTGGGGATCCAGCCCACAGCCCGGGCCTGTGCCCTGACCGGGAACGGAACCGTGACCTCCTGGTTCACAGGTCGACGCTCACCACTGAGCCACGCCGGCCGGACGTCTCTCCCGTTTTCTTTACAAAGTTAGAATCAACAGGCAAACTTAACTCAGAGTACTGGCACTAAATGAAGAATGTGCTGATCTCAGAGAAGCGTCTGGTCTCCAAACTGTTTCACAGAGAGGTGTTTTGGGTTGGCTTCCCGCACCACCCGGCCCTAAAGGCCTCTGACGCGACGTCTTGTAAGTAGATGGAGAAGGTACTCAGTACAACACCTACGCACCTAATGCACCTTCGCTAGGTTAGAGACCTTCACTAAGGTAGAGGCCTTCGCTAAGAGAGCAACCACAAGCAATGCAGCTACGCCTGGGCCGTGTCATGGAAGCACAGCGACAGCGACAGCGGTGGTGTGTGAGGACTTCATTCCAGAACCTTCCGCACACACCGCTGAGGGCCCTCGTGCATTCCTGGATGAGAGCCAGGCAGAGCGGCGAGCGATAAGATTACAAACATACTCCGAATAGTTTCCTGGCTCCACGAGGAGGAAAAACTCACCTCAAATTCCAGGTGAACAATTCCTTCCCCGAAGGCGCACATGTTACCGTCCCGGCGTTTGCAGCCAAACGCAGGGTGGCGTCCACACCCAGGGCCGTGGCTCCTGCCCCCGGCGGTGCCCGCGTTAGAGCGGTTATGAGCCGGGTGAGGCGAGAGCAAGGCCGGTCTGCCGTGGACCGTGAGCCACGAACAACGCCCTTTTCATGGCACGGGGTCCTGACAACAGCACCTCCTTCCGGTGCGGCCAGAGGACTGGACAGATAACACACAGGACCGTGCTCTCTTCCTCCCCCCTCCCTTCCTCTCCAAAATCAGTAAGAATGTATTTTAAAACAATGAGTTAAGAAAAACACTCGTCCGGGCTAATTTACTGGTCACCAGCGGTGCTAGGGATGTTGGCCCTGGCCAGGGGCTGGGACCAGAGGTGGGAGCCGCTGATTCCGCTCACAGACGGCCTCCCGGCCCCGGGGGGAAAGCAGCCATGGGAGAGTGTCCGTTAGGGGCCGGGGTGGGAGAGCAGGCCCCGCGGGAGAGCAGAGGATGGTCGGTTCCACTGGAGGCGGCGGCAGGACGGCCTCAGAGAGAGGAGCTCTTGGGAGGGTGTTGGCGGTGAGCAGGGGCCCCGCAGACAGGACAGGGTGCGAGGAGATGCTGCCGCTCCCGGCACCCGGCCCCTCTCCGCCTGGCAGGGCCGGAGTGGAGGGTGTGAGGAGACGGGCAGGCCACGTCCTGAGGGTCCGCTGGGCCCGGCTGATGGCGTCTGCACTCCACCCTGGGGGCAGGGGCAGCGAGGAGGGGCCTGGAGGTGGGCGAGCCATCCAACCATCCGCTCTGTGTAGCAGGAAGGCCCCATGGCAGCCCCAGGAGAAGGGCCCGGGACGGAGGGAGGAGGCCACCGGGCCCTGCTGCCCGCTCCTCGCTGTCTCAGGGGCCGGGTGAGGTCCGTGTCCGCCGGGGCAAGGAGGCTGCGGCACGGCCGGGGCCGAGCTGACGGGCCGAGCGGAGACAGCCACAGCGGGCGGCAGGAGACCGACCGGAGACGACAGGAGCTACGCCGACTTGGTCTGCGGCTGTAGGAGCGGAGGGAGAGGCGCCTGTGCGACCCCTTCGGACGTGAGATACACAAACACCCGGTGACCGCCCGCCGCCCTCCCGCCGGCCGCCTGACCCACCGATGGAGACGGACTGCGCCCGGCCACTCCTGGACATCGGGGATGCGATGAGGGGCGGGTTTCAGGAGCGATGGTGAGTTCAGCTTGAACAGCTGCTTCAGGGCCCGGGGGCATTGAGGTGGAACCCCGAGCGAACGCCGAGGCCTGTCCTGCCCGCCGTGGGGCATGGCCTGCATCCCGCGCCCGCGTGAGCCTCACCACAGCTCAGAGAGTGGGAGCATCCCCCCTCCTAGGGCGCGGACCAGGGAAGCGGGAGACGAAAGGCGGCTCGGCCGCAGCGGTTGGAGCTGGCGCTGCCTGTTCCCATCGCACTGTCGCCGCCCGCCGGGGAGCTCTCCTGGGACAGCGAGGAGCGGGCAGCACGGACCCCGGCCTCCTTCCTGCCCCCTTCCGGCTCCTCTTCTGCCGAGAGGCAAAGGCCCGACCTCCCTTTTCTTGGGGTCAATGCTCACGTTTCCTGGGTTCATACAAACCCCAGCACAACACGGACCACACCATCAGCGCTGGGCGTGGACGGCAAGCCCTTCCCCTCCCACGGGGACGATGGTGTGACCATGCGGCACCGAAACCGCGTGCGACCGCGGAGCCTGGTCCTCACCCCACAGGGCCAGGGCCTCCCAGGGCCTCCCAGGCCCGTTGCGGCCGCGTGATGAGGAACAGCACCGACCACCACGCCGAGCCCTCGCCCCTGTCAGCCGTGTGCCAGGCGCTCTCCTGCTCTGACCCCTACTTCCCGGCAGCCCCATCGAGTGTGCGGTGACTGCCCGCATGTTAATGACGAGCACACCGAGGCCCACGGGGATGACTCGAGGCCGTGCCGCTAGGAAGCAACAGGCAGGATTCGAACCCACGGCTGCTCGAGGCGAGTCCGAGGTCTCGTATCTCATCGCCCTGTGAGGAAAGCCGAGCACAGACCTCCGTGTGCCGTAAGCCCTCCCTCCCCCTCACTCACTGCCAGGATTCGGGCTCGCGCACGGCTCATCAGCGCACCGCCAGGAGCTAAACACGGGAAGGAGGAGAGGAGACACGGAGGGGAAGTGTTTGGGGCAGAGCTGGAATCCGAGGAAAAGCCAAGAGCTTTAAGCTGCTGTTTAAAAGGGTTAGAACATGTGGATTCCGTTGTGTCCTATTAGGTCAATCAGGAGGACGTGAGCTTTGTTCCATCACGTACGACAGAGGCCACATCACTCAGGACACGACGCAGGACCAGGAGCCTGTGCGGGAGGACGCGTGGCACACGTGACCGGCCACCCTAACGCACTGCCCACTCCGTGCGAAGTGCTCGAAAGGTTCAGAGTGTCCAATAGACTGTGAAGAAGCTACACCCGGTGGTCGGCAAACTGCGGCTCGCGAGCCACATGCGGCTCTTTGGCCCCTTGAGGGTGGCTCTTCCTAAGCCTGAGGAGCACCCTCATTAAGTTAATAACAGTGTACCTACCTGTATAGTTTAAGTTTTAAAAATTTGGCTCCCAAAAGAAATTTCAATCATTGTCCTGTTGATATGTGGCTCTGTTGACTAATGAGTTTGCCGACCACTGAGCTACACCCTCTGCTGTCAGCTCTGTTTCGCTTTGTGGGAGGCATCGGAGGAGGAAAGGGGGATCTGCCCCTGGCCTCCCGCTCAGAGGGGGTTGATGTCACTCCAGCATCCCCAGATCAGAGCTCTAGACCGTGGTGAGTCTGTTTACAACATATGTGACCAGAACAGGAGAATCTATAGGGATTGGGAGCAGATGAGCAGAATCTAAAGCCGGGAAGTGCAGGGGAACAGAGTGTGTCTACTACTGGGTGTGCGACTTCTTTTCCGGGCAGTGAAAACATCCTAAAATTAATTGTGCTGATGGTGGCACAGCTCTGTGAATATACTAAAACTGAAATGAACACTTTAATGCGCTTTTTTATTGATTTCAGAAAGAGAAAGGGACAGGGAGAGACAGTAACATCAATCAGTGATGACAGAGAATCATGGATCGATCGGCTGCCTCCTGCACACTCCCCACTGGGAATCGCGCCCACAACCCGTGCCTGTGCCCTGACCTGACCGGGAGTCACAGAGACCTCCTGGTTCATAGGTCGACGCTCAACCACTGAGCCACACCGGCCGGGCGGTAGTTCAGTGTTTTGACGGGTGAGTGACTCCACTGTCCGGCCAGACCATCTTCCGGACTGAATGTGTGTGCCCCCCCTCCCCAAACCCTAACCCCCATGCGATGCATTGTGAGGTGGGGCCTTTGCAGGTAATTCAGGTTAGACCGGGCCCTGGCGGGAGAGCCCAGGACAGGGTTAGTGCCCTTAAAAGACATGAGCGTCCCCTCTCCCGTGGGAGGACGCAGCGAGCAAGCCAGGAAGCAGGCTGGCCCCACCGTGGCCGCCAGCAGCGGGGTCCTGGGCCTCCGGCCTCCGGCAGGGTGAGCTATGGGACTCCCTGTACGGCAGCCACGCTGACTGACGTAAAGCACATTTCACTTATCACCGGTCGGTGGACCTCGGGGTTGTGCACACTTTGGAGCTTTGGTGAGTCATGATCCTGTGAACATTTGTAAGTGTTGGTGTGAACGTATGTTTTCATTCTCTTGGGTTTATATCTAGGACTGACATTGTGGGTCATGTGGCAGCTCTATGTTTAACTTTCTGAAGAACTACCGGACTGTTTTATAATGTGGCTGCGTGCTTTCTTCTTCCTACCAGCCATGTATGAGGGTTCCCGTTTCTCCACACCTTTGCCAACAACACCTGTCATCGTCTTGCTGATTAGTCATCCTAGGGCAGTGATGGCGAACCTTTTGAGCTCGGCGTGTCAGCATTTTGAAAAACCCTAACTTAACTCTGGTGCCGTGCCACATATAGAAATTTTTTGATCTTTGCAACCATAGTAAAACAAAGACTTATATTTTTGATATTTACTTTATATATTTAAATGCCATTTCACAAAGAAAAATCAACCAAAAAAAAATGAGTTCGCGTGTCACCTCTGACACGCGTGTCATAGGTTCACCATCACTATCCTAGGGGGTGGGAAGGGGTATCTCACTGTGATTTTAAAAAATACATATTTTTATTGATTGAACCCGCAACCTGGCATGTGCCTTGACTAGGAATGGAACCGTGACCTCCAGGTTCACAGGTCGATGCTCAACCACTGAGCTCGCCGGCCAGGCCGCACTGTAATTTTGGCCGGCATTTCCCTGGCGACTAACAATGCTGAGCATCTTCTCGGTGGCTCACTGGCCATTATCTACCCTCTCGGGAGAAATGTGTGTTCCTGTCCTTTGCCCATTTTAAAATTGGGTTGTCTTTTTATCGTCGAGATAATATCTGTCATCACGGAAAGGTGTTCACACGCCTGCCATTTTCAAGCAAACAGACCCTGGGCCAAGTCTGGCCGCCTCTGCAGCCACCGTGTCTGGCAGGACTTTTTGAGCGTTCTCCTCGCTCATGGCTTCCACCCTCTCTCTTCAAGCGGTTTCAGTCCGGCTCCTGCACCCACGCTTCACCGGAGCTGCTCTCCTCGCGGCCCCAGTGGCTGTTCTCTTACTAAATTCGGTGGCCACTCTTCAGTTCTGAGCGTGGTGGCTTTCTCTGTGGTATTAACTCCGAGTCCCTCCCCACGGCTGGAGATTCTCGGCTTAAATCCTGGCACGTCTTCCGGACGTTATCAGACGTTTCTTCAAGCTGGCGGCCACTCAGTTTCCGCCATGGGCTTCTCATTCTGCTCATTCTTTTTTTTTAAAAAATGTACATATTTTGTATTGATTTCAGAGAGGAAGGGAGAGAGAGAGATGGAAACACCCATGACGAGAGAGAGTCACTGATCGGCTGCCTCCTGCTCACCCCACACTGGGGATCGAGCCCACAACCTGGGCCTGTGCCCTGACCGGGAATCGAACCGTGACCTCCTGGTTCATAGGTTGACGCTCAACCACTGGGCCACGCCGGCCGGGCCGTGCTTAAGTCTTGATCTTCAAGACTGTGTCCTCAGTCCCTCTTATTTTCCACCTTCACACGGACCCACTGGGTACCCCACTCATGCCCGTGGGTTCCGATACCAGTGACACTGCTCCCTGCTGAGCCTCATCTCGCCCTCCGCCCACTGCCCTCCTGGCCGGCT